AAAAAAAAAAAAAAAAATAAAAAAACACATCATAGTAAAATTAATACCTTCTCAGCTTCGCATCGAAGCTAAAAAATTAATATTAATAAAAAGATCTACCAAATTAAGCGCATTATAAAATTTGATTATAATTATAAAAATCGATTATAAAATTCAGGTAAAACTAAAAATCATTTTAGCTTTGATGCGAAGCTGAGAAGGTATTAATTTTACCATGATGTTTTTTTTTGTCTGTTACCACTCTCTCTCAGCTCTCAGTGGACCGATTTCTTTCAATAATACATCAAAAGATCACAAAACGTATCTAGTTGAAGACATTACCCTTAAAAATTGAAAAAATTTCCCTCGTTCCTCGCAAATAGGGGAAATCTCCACAAAAATTACAAATATAAAAATCGGTAAATTTTGTCATTTTTTTCTTAAAACATACATAACTTTTTCAAAAATCAACAAATCAACATAATTTTTTGTGTTAAAATTTTCGATTTTAAATTTTCAACTTAAAAATGCTATAACTTTTCGAAAAATGTATGTATCAGCACAAATTTTTTTTTTATAAATACATTACAAGTACATTTTTCATTCGATCTACTTTTTATTAAAAATTGGACAATTTCCTCTTATATAGGGGGCGTTCAAAACTTGAAACATTGAATAAAAAATAGAATTTGTTCGGTCGTGATGAAACAGTTTGGTAGTTTTCATCTCTTCAACAAGAGCGCGACATGCCATAACTGGTTTATCTGTTGGGGTAGTGTGTGGCAGTGGTCGTGAAGGATTCATTCGCGCTCAATTAGTCGGCCGTTTCGGTTATATCGACGCCAGGTTTTTTTGGGTCGAGTATTGCCTTGTCGCCACAGTGTTCAATTTGAGTTGCTCAACGGCTTATATGTTACGGTGTTTTTTTTTTTGTTGCTGCCTTCCCTGCATCTGAAGTGTCACAATGTTCATCACCTTCAAACGGCAGTGGGTAATTACTAAGAATTTTTTATTGTTTATTTAATGGATTTACAGTCCACATAAGATATGTATTAGTTATAAAAAGGAGATATATGTTATTTATATTATTAGTAATTTGTGCTAATTTCATTTATCATTGGCTCTTGTTGTTTGTTATTTTTTTTATAATAACTGAAAATATCATATTGTGATTATTGTATATGTTGTTTTTCTTTCTATCTAGTATATTGTAAGGCTCAATTTCCACATTTTTATATTCTCCTTGCCTTCCACTAAGGCATGGCCAAAATACGTATGGTCAATCGTATGTATTAAACAAACTAAAAGATTACAAAACCGCAAATTGTCGATACTAAAAAAAATATAGCCGGAATTTCACAGAATTTTTTCAACTTAACTTTTGAAAATGTTCCGGAAATACTGCATCCTTTAAACATATATCAAATCAAAGGTTATGTCATTTACTATAAAATGAAAAAAAAAATTTGTCCTGACGCCTTATCTTCTATGTGCTAATTGCTCTCGAAATTTAAAAAAATGTTATGTTTGCGTTAAAAATCATTTTCTATCGGGATGTTTTTTGTACTTAAAACTGTCATAAATTTTTAAAATATTAACAAATCAAAATAATATTTTTTTATATTGAAACCTTAGGTCATTTCCTTTCATTTGATATCATTTTTTTTTTGAAAATCTAACACTTATTCTGCTCAGGGGAGGGGATTTAAAATAGTAACTTTTTTATAAAAACTAACTTTTTTCAACTTTTGATAATGTTCCGGAAATACTGCGTTCTTTCAACATATATAAAATTAAAGTTTATGTTATGTACTATAAAATTAAAAAAAAAAAAAAAATTGTCCTGACGATCTATCTTCTACGTGCAAATGGCTACCGTATTCAAAAATATGCTATTTTTGTGTTAAAATTCTGGGTTTTGTATTTTATTTTATTTTAAAATATCTTATTAGGGCAATACACTGACTTTCATGAATATTATATAATTTAATTGACATAGAATAAAGTTCATAAGACATAAAAAATTAAACTTATTTAAATTCTTTTGCTTTTTTAAAGTCGAAAAAGTAACTTTTAAATTTAACTTAGCTTAAATTGCTAATTTTATCATGCGTTGAAAGCGACGAACAGTTTCCGAATCGGTAACACTAGTGTCTTTCACGCTAATGGTACGAGGTTCGCATTGGCTATGACAATTGCTTAATCAGAGTTATGTCACACTAGTTCTCTCGCTCAACTAGCGCCGTTTATTGACGCAATGAATCTAATTCGTGTGGGCGGCCGCCTCCGCTACTCATCATTAGGTCCAGATGCAAAACATTTAATACTGTTACCTAAAACTTTGCATTTTACACGTTTAATAATTCAACACTATCACCATGGTTATTTACATGCTGGACCGAAGTTGATTTTATCAATGATAAGGAGAAAGTTTTGGATTATTTCTGGTCGTGACGCCGTACAGCAGTTTATTTTTACTTGTACAATTTGTGTAAGACTTAAGGCCGCTCTCCCAAACCCAATGATGGGAGATTTGCCAATTTCTCGAGTTTGTTCACAACGTCCATTTCAAGATGTCGGCATTGATTATGGAGGCCCCTATTTGGTAAAGGAACGACGCCTTCGCAACACTAAAACCACCAAAGTATACATAGCGCTTTTTATTTGCATGGCTGTAAAGGTGGTACACACAAAAATCGTTTCAGATTTAACTTCGGACGCCTTTCTTGCCGCCCTTGACCGGTTTGTAGCGCATCGAGGAATTCCAGTAAATGTACTTAGCGATTGCGATAGTAATTATATTGGATCATCGCGTCAACTAAAATCTCTTTTTGCGAATGAGGCCGTGCAAAACACAATGGTCACACGAATCCCATGTAATTGGCATTTCAATTCTTCCGCAGCCCCTCACATAAGTGGAATATGGGAGGCTGGCATTAAAAGTGTAAAACATCATTTAAAATGAATTATTGGTATTTAACTGCTAATCTATGAAGAAATGGAAACTTTAGTAATTCGTATCGAAGGTATACTTAATTCTCGTCCTCTGACACAAGCTTCGGCAGATCCTCATGATCTACTCGCATTAACCCTTAGCCATTTTTGAATAGACCAACCTATTCTTTCTTTACCTGAAACTGACGTTACTAAATTACCCATTAACCGCTTAACTCGCTGGCAACTAATTCTTCAAATGCACCAATCGTTTTGGAAACGTTGGTCAAGCGAGTATTTGACGACACTTCAAGGAGTATTTAAATGGACAAAAGGGGAAGAAAATATTAAAATTGGAGATCTTGTCATCGTTGAAGCTCCGAATTGCCCACCGACCGAATGGAAAATGGGCCGTATTATAGCAGTCCATCCGGGTGTAGATCAAGTAGTACGCGTGGCTACCGTACATACCGCAGACGGTGATTTCAAAAGACCGGTAGTGAAATTAGTCAAACTACCCGTGAATAATGAATACATGTCTAACATGTCTTATATTTATCCTATTCTTTCCTGATTTCTTTTATGGTTCTTTAATATAACTATGTACATATTTTTTATTTTAATTTTAAGATAGATTTTAAGTTCAATGTTCTATTGAGAATGTCAATAAGTTTGTCTTGAAAGCTTTAGCTTTCAACATCGGGAGTATGTTGGATACGCATCACGAGAGGGCGTTTTCTTACATTGTTTGTTATGATTGATAACGCTACTCGCACTACCACCATAGGTTGTGCGAGAAATTCAATTACTACGTTGGATGCTAGTGTACGTGATTCTTATGTCTCGCCGAGTTATTATTGGTTCCTTTGGTGAATTTTGCGTTTTTTGCTGCCATTCATATCTTGTTTGTTAGATGGTTCTACGATGCTTACAAGCCCGTAGTTGTTTTAAAAACGTTGTTTATCGCCTTTGCGATTGTGCGTTATTGTTTATCGGTCTTGCGATACGCTCATCGATAATTAAATTCATCTTGAACTATTATTCGCGCCAGTACATTTTGCCAGTTCAACTGTTAAGTCAACGACTTCACCCGCTTGCTCTTTATATATTAACCAGTCATCACCATTAGTATTATTTGTATATTTTACGCATTGTTGCATTAGCATTAATAGTCCCCCGACCCACATTGATGTATATAGTATTTTGGTTTAAACTTTTAACATTTTTTTCAATTGTATGATTAACGAGTGTAAAATAAATTTCTTTTGATATCATTAAAATTTTTTTAACTAATTTCGGTTTTTATGGGTCACCGCTTAATGTGAGCAAACAATTCTGGTCCCAACGTGCCCATATTAAGCGGAATCTACTGTATTCCTATATTCATTTTATTCATTTATACAGTCCACTCCCTACTTCTTTCTCCTGCATGATATAGATACTCCAGAAACAAACAGTAACTAACCCACACATCATTACCGGGCGTTCCGTTCAAACAACCATAAGATTAACTCAGTCGCTATAAATGAAAATAAAGGTAAGTGCGAATATTTATTTGCATGCTTTACTTTTTAAAAATTCGTGTAATTAACAAGAATAAGAATAAGTGAGGTAGGGATATATTATTATTTTATAACTCAACATAGTTCGACCCCAAGAAACCACACCATCTTTACCCCCATTATATTTTAATATACATACCTCATAACAATACCCTCGCCAATTAATTTTTGTTTATTACACAAGTCATGTAGAGCTCCACAAAATGGTCGCTGAAAAGGGCTCGTTTCAGTACAGGTGATAAAAACCGTTTATCAGCTGTTTAAGTAAACACCTTATCGTCCGGTTTAAATATTCTTTTAAAATATAGAAGACTTACTATGTTGTTTAAAAAAGTAAGTGTTATTATAATATGTAAAATCAATAAAATTAATTTAAAAGACCATTTTAATGTTTCGAAAGCAATTAGTTCATAAGAAATTTGTATTTAGTTTTATTGTAATATAATAACAAAAATTTCAACAAAAATGAATTTTTTGTAATTTTTCATTTCTAATATACATTTTTACAGACATACACTTTAAAAGTATATTTTTATTGGCTATACATTATTATGTAGATAACAACAATAACATAATAGAACAAATAAACAAAAAGAGGTACAATTATTTAGTACAACACACATACACACACACACATATATATGTATATATATATGTATTTATATATATATAAATAAATATATATTTATATTTATATATGTATATGTATATGTATATATATTTATAAATATAAATATTATAACCAAAATATTAAGAAAAAAATTAAATTTTAAGTTGTTTCCAATAAAATGATATGTGATGCTTGTCACTGCAATACTCAATGCTCAGAAAATTTTAAATTCATAAGCGAAGGAAACATTCACATAATGTGGTATCCTTCTTCATTTTCACAATCAAGGCTAGGAAATGAAAATTCAGGTATTAAATCGTTATTAAGTATAATTTTTACATAAAACGATTTTTGTAATTAGACGATTATTATATTATATACTATTTACGAAAACTGTTTAAAAATTATTTTATTATAAATCTTATGTTAATATGTGAAAAAATAATTAAAACTGTTTTTATATTTTGTATCTATTTAACTAAGAATTAAAGTTATATTATTGGAAAGAACATTGATAAAATACAAATAGATAGACCAGACATTGGGAGATTTTGGCAACGCTCGTTTTGGACCCGTTTGTTAATATTTGTTAGATAGCGTTGGAATCGCACTGTTCTATTGGTTGGAAACAATTATAAACCGATCAAAATTATGGACATAATCAGTTTAACAAATAGTTCCCTTTATTTTGGGTACAAACAACGTTGCTTAAATTTAATATTGCGTGTTCTATTTATTTGATAAAAAGAACAAGGAAATCTATACAGATCAAGACAATATGTTTGAAAAATTTTTCTTTTAAAAATATTTTTATTAAAATAGTATATTGCCAAATTTATTAATATTGCCATACTAATAAATTAACCTGTATAGTTAACTTTTTTTTTAATGGTTAATGTTTTTTAGAAGGAAGTAATGCTTGTACCATCATTGTTCTACTTATTGCTACAAATATTAGAAACTCTAATGTTCGCGTACAGTGTTTGTTCAGTTCACCTACAAAAGAAACTTTAATAAATTTATTCTCAAAAGCAATTTTAGAAGGAAACGCAATACATAGAAATTTATTTAAGGCTGGTTTACTAAGAAACGTAAACCTTACTGTGCCAGAAGCAATGGCAGCTAGTAAATCATCATTAGGAACTATGTCAGAATGGGTAATATTCATATTTTTTATGAATTATAAAACCAATAAATAAATGTTCTTTAGAAAAGTTCAGTTTATTTTAACGATATCAAGAAGAACTTGTATAGAGAAATGGACCGCCACATAATAGAATGGTATAAAAATCCCCCTTGCTGTGATAACAAAAGTCTGTACATGGTATTAATTGCTCACAGTAAATCAGTTTTGTTTGTATTACAGCTTGACATGAATTGTGTGAGTATTAATTTTTATTTAGATTTCATTATAATAAACATAATCAAGTCACATTTACTGAAAATAATGTTTTGTGTATATTTGACACTCATTAAACTTAAACTGAAATGTAGGAAAGAATACATAATTCCATGCAAAAGATGTTATTTGTAACAAAAATTTCAAACACACCAAATATACACATATTACCAATTTATATATTCATTAAATCTTATTCTGATATGTAAAATTGTTTGAAATAAGAATGATTCACTTATTATGAATATGTGATTCATAATCATTATGTGAATGATTAGAAAAATAAAATAAGTTTGAAAATTTTTTTTTTATTTTGCTTATATTTAGTTAAACAACTATATCAATTTATCAGTCAATAACTAGTTTTTAGGTTGACACCATAATTAGTGATGAGTAAAATTGAGTCTTGTAAAAATGCAGGAGGCCAAAATAGACTACATAGACTAATGTAGCCAAGACATTATTGGCAAGACTAAGAATAAATTTACAAAACAAGACCAAACCAAGACTAAGTCTTTTTAAAAATAAAACAAATACCAAAACTGCCAAAATCTTAGTCTTGACCTTGATTTATTCATCACTGACTATAAGGAATCAATTTTTTTTCTTTTTAAAATATTTTGAAATTACCTGGTCAGTCATTATTTCATTTATTATCATATACTTACTATTCATTATTACTTTTGAATAAATATTTGAAAATATATCATTTTTTTTTATTTAAACAGAAGGAGCGATGCTTATAAATGTTAACTGTTTAAAGTGTATAATATATAATAGAAATATAGTTTCTACCGAGGTATTGGATTAAAAAAAAACCCAATACTAAGGAAGAAATAAGATACAAAGTAAGAATAGGTACGTGTAATGTTAGAATATAAGCTAATACTAGAAAATTAGTAGAAGTATTGAATAGCAGAAAAGTTAAGAATTGTTGTGTGCAGGAAACTAAATGAAAGGGTAAGAAACCAAAGGAAATGGTGTAGATTATAAAATAATATACACAGGTAAATACAGAAAATGGTGTAGGCATACTAATAGATAAGGAGATGAAAAGTAAAGTAGTAGAAGTAGCTTGGAAAAGTAACAAAATTATAGTCGTAAAATTAATTTTCGAGAAAAAAGGTTTTAAATGTAATAAGTGCCTATGCACCACAAGCAGGATATGATGAAATAGACAAGGAAGTGTTTTATAGAAAGATGGATGAGTTAATACAAGAAATACCTGGTAATGAGAATACAGTACAGGTGGAAATATGAATGGACATGTTGGTAATGAAAGGAAAAATATCAATGTGTAAATAGAAAGCATGGTTTATGTGAGGAGAATGAGGCTGAAGAAAGAATCGTGAATTTCGCAGTATACAAAAACAGAAAGAACATAGGAGTAAAATCGAGGACCCGGTGATGTAAATTGAAAGGAGAAAAAGAAAAAGAGTTTTTAAAGACAGTAAAAGAGAGAACGGTGTGGAATGTCGAGAGAGACATAAATGATAAGAGAATAAGAAATGAGACATCGGTATCTAAAATCAGTTTGGATTTATACCTGGTAAGTTAATAAAGGAGCCATTATTTTGTGTGAGGCAACTAATAGAAAATTATAGAAAAAAAAAAGAAAAAGCTGTGTATGGTATTTATAGATCTGAAGTTAATGATAGAGTGCTGAAAGAGGTTTTAACGTGTGCATTAATGAGAAAAAGTCTCGAAAAGTTATATTAATATAATGGAGAATGTGTATGATAGCACTTTTACCATAATAAAATGTGTGGGAGGAGTAAAAGAAAGTTTTAGGGTAAGAGTAGGAGTGCACCCAGGTTCTGCTTTAAACCCTTACTTATTTTCTATAGTGATGGATGAAATTACTAGAGAAATACAAGGAGAGGTGACGTGGTGCATGTTTTTTGCTGACGATATAGTATTAGTGTTATGAAAATAGGGAAGAAATTAATCAAAGGCTAGAGGTGTGGAGATCAGCTTTTGAAGAAAAGAGTTTAAGAATAAATAGGAGTAAGACAGAGTATATAGAGTACAAGTTTGATAGAGGAGAACACGAGGTAGGTGAAATAAAGAGACCAATGACAATAGGCGTAGACGTGATTGGAGATGTGGAAAGTTTCAAGTATTTAGGATCAGTTGTATAAAATAACAGTGGTAATGGCAAGTATGTAAGACACAAGATAAAGTGCAGGTGGTTGAAGTGGAGAGAAGCGTCTGGAATGTTATGCGATAAAAAAATTCCAATAAGGCTGAAAGGTAAGTTCTGTAAGACCAACTATGATGTATGATTCAGAGTGTTGGACTGTTGACAAGAAAGTAGAGCAAAGAATGAGTATAGTAGATATGAGTATGCTTAGATGGATAAGTGGAGTGACTGGAGAAGATAAGATAAGGAACGAATATATAAGAGGAAATATAGGTGTAACGTTAATCGTGGATAAGATGTGGGAAATTAGATGGTTTGGTCATATTATGAGGAGAGAGGAAACGGAAGCTGAAAGACAGTTATTGAAATAAATATTAAAGGAGGAAAACCAAAACAGATGGAGGAATGTTATTGAATATGGTATAATGACGTCTGATGTAAAAGATCAAATGAAAATGATGAAGATGAAGATAAAGTTGATTTATAAATAAAATTTATTGAACATTTACTATTATTTTTGGAATGAATAATTATTTAAAAGAGTATATGATACAGATTTGTTTAAAATTATTGATTCACATGTATAAATTCCTTTATACTAGTCATAATAATTATTTTACAACATAAAAATAAAGTATCTATCAGTAAATAATTATTATGTTTTTAGGTGCTCTTGATAGATTCACACCAGCACGCCCCATATGGAGCAGTGATGTCACAAGTGCGAATATCAAAATTAGAAAAATTATGTTTATGGTATACTGAAATGTTATGTAGCGCGATTGGAACAAAACCTGAAGCTTATGAACTAAGTTTTCTTTACTTTAAATGTGACACACGAAACTCATAGTGGTGTATAATAACTTTTAAATATAATATCAAGGCAAATCGATGAGAAATATACGTTTTGTATAAACGGGATTTTTATTAATAAGCCCACAGCCGTTTATTCTTTATAAGAACAAAGTTGTTCGTAAATAAGGGACTGAAGGGACAAAAAAAATAATACATATACATTACGAATTATTATAGTTTTAACCTGATACTTTTACTCTTTACAAAAATTTAAAATTTCAATAGTGTCTTACCAGATTTTGATCATTCTGTATACAGATAAACTATTTTTATTGAAGTACCTCTAATTACCATTGTTTTAAAGGCATAATCGCCCATTATATTACGCTGCATTTTGACCTTAACGCACAAAAAGTTCCTTTTAATAATTAAGAATAACAGCTTTGTTATTCTTAATATTGCTCAAATTTATATTGTTATAAGCCTCTGAAATAGTTTAAACTTTATTTCATAATTATATTAACAGAGCATCAATAATAATGTGCTTATTGAGACCGGCCAAAAGGAATGTGTCAATTATACGTTTTTAGGTTCAGCAATGCCGATAATGTGGCCTCTACAATTGTAAACCAGAGCGTCATTAGTCATTAGACTACTCTGATCTATACATTTAATGTAGCCGTACTTTATTTAATAATCTAGATTTATATTATACCAGTTCTCGTAGTATTTTATTATATTTTCTTACACTCCTAACATTTATTGGTAGCTTCGGTGAAATACCGAAAAAACTTGAATATTCTTATATCATAAAATAAAATAAAAAACCAGCACAGTGGGGACGTGGCATAGTTGGGTCCAGTATAGATTTAATCTGACATTGATTAACATCACTGAAAATCAAGATAATGTTTATTTATAAGAAATTGGTAAATAATTACAAGAGCAAATGGACTCCTCCTATTTTCTTATTTATAACATAATTAATAATTCTAAAATTAAAAATATAATATATAATTATTAGAGTGGCCCTCAAAAATCGAATGTCTTTTTTTTTTTTACGCTATCCCTTAATTTTTTTCAAGAATTTTGAATTGTGCAAATTTTGGGACCGATCCGTTAAGGTTAACCCGTGCCCCCGGGCCTATTAAGTTGAGTCGAAGAGTCAAATTTAATAGAAATAACTGATCTATGTCTCATAACTTTTTTTTCTCTTAACTTAGAATAATAAAAGTAAAGGAAATTTTACAAGAAATTCAAAAATAATAACTTCAATGTTGTTTTCTCAATAAATAGCCCACAAAAACACTACATACAGTAAAAAACATGTAAAAGTCTTAAAATACGTTATAACTGATTTTGTTGATTTTTAATTATTTATTTTCATTTTATTTTTTGGAAAACGCATATTCGTTTAAAAAAAGATTCTAGAAGTTTAATTTTTTATGCCAAGTACGATAATTATATTAGATTTATTATTTTATGGACAGTTAATTAATGATTAATTACNATAGACTATTAACAACACACACAAATAGAGTTAAAAAATTAATAAATTACAAAGTTAAATTATTTACTTTTGCAGTTGAATACTTAGATCATATCAAATCTAATTCCACAATAAATACATAAAAAATATTAGAAATTAATGATTTTAACTGTTTGTATGGATAAAGCTGTTTAAGGTACTTTTTATTTGATTAAGGGATTTTTTTTTTCAATTTTTGAGAGTAATATCTTTAATTAAATACGAATTGTAATCATTTGACTTATCGTCGAAACAGTAGGTGAATTGAGGGTTGGAAAAATATATCGCAACCACAAAAAGAAACGCATAGTAAAGTAATATTAACATGAATAAGAAATTTCTTTTCGTGAGGGGAGACTGTAGTGATGTTTATTGAAGTTAATGAACCTAAATGAGATAAAAATTAAATGATTAGAAAATTTTTCTAACTTAAAAAAAATGCAAAATATTAATTGTCATTGGTGGATTCGAACCTGGAACCCTAACCGTGAAAGACACAAGTGGTACCGTTTGACAACTGTTCGTCGCTTACGCCGACGAATAAAATTGACAAATTAAGCTAATTCAAATTTTAAAGTTACTTTTTCAACTTTAAAAAAGCAAAAAAATTGAAATAAGTTTAACTTCTTATGTCTTATGAACTTTACTCTAAATAATAATATAAGCTTTGTTACGTGTGAACAGGGGGTGAACAAAACTGATAGCCGACACAGGTTTTTTTTTATATGATAAGGTAGCGTCAACCGTTTAATCCACACAACAAAAGAAAAAAGAACAAAACAAGAATATCTAAGGTTTATACATGTGTACAGATATTGTCACTTTTACAATTTAGGTGTATACATAGTATTGTCAATGATGACACATGTCGAAAATTATTTCCAGAAAAGAAAGAAGTCAGCAGCAGTTTTTTTAGTTTTAACCTATGTATACGACACGGTTTGGAAGCGGGGATTACTCCTGAAACTGGTAAACATTCTGACATGAAAATGGCCCTAAGACTTATTGAGGCTATGTCAACGGACAGGAAATACACCTAAATAGAAAAGAAGTAAATACAAGTACCTTTAGAATGGTCTCCCTCAAGGCTCTGCCCTTTTACCAATTTTATTTAATGTCTGTAGTATAGATATTTAATATACTATTGTATAGTATAGACATTTTCGTAACATTTTCAAAAGTTAAATTGAAAAAGTTGACTTTTGTAAAAAGTTGCTATTTTAAGTGTCAGAATTTCAAAAAAATGATATAAAATAAAAGGAAAATATATAAGTTTTAAACATCGAAAAAAAATTATTTTGATTATTTCATTTTTCAATAAGTTATGGCAGTTTTAAGTGAAAAAAAATGTCAAAATTTACCGATTTTAAAAATTATTAATTTTTGGTGGAATTGCCCTATTACAGGAAATGAGGGAAATTTTTTACCCACGATAAAGTATATTACATTAGCATTAATTTAAGATATATAAAGTTTTAGACTTTCCGGAACACTTTCAAAAGTTAAGTTGAAAAAGTTGTCATTTTAAATATTTACTGTGGCCAGGTAAAAGGTCAGATTTATAAAAAAAATATACCAAATGATAGGTAAAGATATCATTCATCTTTAAAAAAATTATATTGATTTGGTCATTTTTTCAATTTTTGAGGGTAATGTCTTCGACTAGATACGATTTGTGATCTTTGACTTATCGTTGAAAGAAATCGTATCGGTGAGAGCTGAGAAATGTGGTGGTAACAGACACAAAAAAAAAATACATCATAGTAAAACTAATACCTCCTCAACTTCGCATCGAAGCTAAAATTGTAAATATTGTTTAGTTTCATTAATTAATAATATTAAAAAAAATATATTAAATTTAAGAATGTTACGATTATTATGAATATTTAGAAAAAAATAATTATAGGTATTTTGTTTGAAATTAAAATAAATTATTCTGTTGTCAATATGTTGAACTATGTCTCTTTAACGTTCTTTAAATAATTTTATTATACAGCATATTTTACTAAAATTTATTTATTTTTACATAATCTAATTTTAAAAGTACTTACAAATTCAATATACTATTTTATACTTTTAAAAATATAATTAGTTTACATACTTTTGAGTTAAACATGAAACAAATTTAGAAAATTACTTTAACTGAATTGTTAGCTGACACAAAGAACATTAATGTGAATGATTTAAAAATTATCAAATTTGTACATTATCTCTTAAGGAAACAATAGTTAATATTTTATATAAATAATGTAAATGAAAAGGTTATTTGTTCAATTTGTATAAAAATTTACTTATGAAAATAATATCAATTTTATAATTAATACTTGTTAAATTTTTTTACAGCTAAATCGATCCAACTAGATATCGTGATACAACCAACGTTGTAGTTGTGCAAAACGTTTTTCTGAACTGATTTCAATTTAAATTTGTTATGTAGAAGCAAACTTATCATCATGAAACTAAGTACAGTAATGTCAACTTTTTTATTTATAATAGTATCTTTATATATTTTAACTATTGTAGCACTGAATGATACGAGTGTAGATACTATAGAAACTTTAGAAATCACAAATGCAATTTTCGAAAGGTATAACTGGGAATCTATCAAAGACGTTAACCACATAAAGTACCGAAATATTAAGTATAGTTTACAAAAAATAAAAATGATAGATACAAAAATAATTGATCATAATTGGGTATTCAAACGTATACGGCTAATGACTTGTTTTTTGGGCTGTACTTATGCAAATAGTCTATTAACTATTTTGTTTTTTTACGAACGTGTGTATTTAATGTGCAAAGATACACTTATTAAAGAACCAATGAATGGTTATAATTGTATGGTAAATTTTTTGAAATCATTTTATAGTTTAGCTACAATGTCAAATATTATGCAAAGTGCAATGAACGCTTTGGATGAACTACATAAGAAGCAATGGTCACTTTTAATTATACCACGTTTCATATTAAGAAATACTTTTGACAAGCTGATCACAGTTTCCGATTTTTACAAGATTGAAAAAGTTTCAATGGTTAATCCTAAAATGAATAAAACATTTTATCAATCTATTGAACGGTTTTTTGAAAAAGTCAAGGAGGATTTAAATTTGGACATAAAATGTTATTGTAGTTTAATTCTCGAAGATAATCATAGTTTATGGAACATGTTCATCAGTTTTTATGAATTTTATCCTTTAAAAGACACACCTAGCTTTCCACTTTACGAACATTTAATTGAAATAATTAAGGAAATTCAAATTTCAACTTTAATAAATAAATTCACAAAATTAGGATTTAAGTTTATTGCTAATACCAATAAGGCAAACATAATGATTAATATCTAAGTATATTTTTCTAATCTTTAAGCGATGTTCTCAATTATTTATTTATAAAAAAAAAACGAAAAAAATATGATACTAATATGATCATAAAATATTTAATATGTTTATCTTGTTAAATTTCTTTAATGAAAACAAATAAATTATATTTATTTATTTATATATTTATTAGCATAAACATTTTCTCTAGGTTAACATCTCCAAATTGCTGTCGAAATTAAAAAAAAAATGTAATATTTGCGATAAAAATCACCTTCTATCGGGATGTTTTTTGTACTTAAAACTGTCATAACTTTTTCAAATATTAACAAATCAAAATAATATTTTTTTATATTGAAACCTTAGGTCATTTCCTTACATTTGATATCATTTTTTTTTTTTGAAAATCTAACACTTATTCTGCTCAGGGGGGATTTAAAATAGTAACTTTTTTATAAAAACTAACTTTTTTAACTTTTGATAATGTTCCGGAAATACTGCGTCCTTTAAACATATATTATTTCAAAGGCTATGTCATGTACTATAAAATAAAAAAAAAATTTATACCGACACCTGATCTTCTATGAGTAAAAATTGCCACTGAAATTAAACAAAAAATGTAATATTTGCAAAAAATATCAGCTCCTGTCGTGATGTTTTTTGTATTTCAAACTAGCATAACTTATTGAAATATTAACAAATAAAAATAATATTTTTTTATTATGAAACCTTAGGTAATTTCTTTTCATTTAACATAAATTTTTTAGCTTTCATGTGAAGCTAAGAAGGTATTAATTTTACTATGATGTGTTTCTTTTTGTGTCTGTTGCCAATTTTTCTCAGCTCTCACTGGACCAATTTTGATGAACAATATGTCAAAAGATGACAAATCGAATCTAGTTGAAGACATTACCCTTAAAAATTGAAAATGTTCCGAAAATATTAACACTTTTATTTATACTTAAATTATAGCTTATATTAATCTTTAGAGTATAGTTCATAAGACATAAGAAGTTAAACTTATTTAAATTGTTTTGCTTTTTTAAAGTCGAAAAAGTAACTTTTAAATTTGACTTAGCTTAATTTATAATTTTATCACTCATCTAAAGTGACGAACAGTTGCCGAAACGGTACCACTTGTGTCTTTCACGATTAGGGTTCCAGGTTCGAATCCACCTATGTCAATTTAATATTTTTTTTTTTTTAAGTTAGAAAAATTTTCTAATCATTTAATTTTTATCTCATTTAGGTTCATTAACTTCAATAAACATCACTACAGTCTCCCCTCACGAAAAGAAATTTCTTATTCATGTTAATATTACTTTACTATGCGTTTCTTTTTGTGGTTGCGATATATTTTTCCAACCCTCAATTCACCTACTGTTTCGACGATATGTCAAATGATTACAATTCGTATTTAATTAAAGATATTACTTTCAAAAATTGAAAAAAAAAATCCCTTAATCAAATAAAAAGTACCTTAAACAGCTTTATCCATACAAACAGTTAAAATCATTAATTTCTAATATTTTTAAAATATTTATTGTCGAATTAGATTTGATATGATCTAAGTAAATAATTTTACTTTGTGATCTATTAATTTTTTAACTCAATTTGTGTGTGCTACTACCAGTCTATAATATTCCAAATTTTTTTTGTAACATGTTGCTATATTAATTATAATTTAAAAAAAAAAATAATTTTTAGTTTTACCTGAATTTAAATTATAATCAAATTTTATAATACGCCCAATTGAATAAATCTTTTTACCAACTTTATTTTTATTGATTCTTTTAGTTCAATCGTTCTTAACGGGGACGGTACCACCCCCTTGGGGGCATTTCGGTCTCTCCGGGGGTGATAGTTTTGAAGGGGGTGGTGAGCTTTTCCCAACTCGGTGATTAAAAATAATATAATTTATTAATAATATATAACAACACTACAAATAATTGAACGTGAAATCAAAATCGTTGTAATTGCGTACGCTATACAATGGCATACGGCATGTTATCTAATCGGATTTTACGTTTGGGGAACGTCTTGTTTATAATAGATTTATTTTTACATTTTCAACCATAATAAGACTATTCAATAGTTTTTATATATTATTATTATTAATAGTCACTATTGTATAGTGTACCTTGCAGTGCGTGATTGATATCGCGACGTCTCTAGTATACATTATATAATTAACAGATTTAATTTTAACTAAGTAATTTGAAATGTAAATATTTTTATAATGAGTGCATTAAAGAAGTGTCGTCAGTATTTAGTAGAGTACCTAAAGTTTGGTTTTATCGCATCACCACTTAATGTACAGTTACCGTTTTGCCTTATATGTGAAAAAACATTTTCAAATGAGGCAATGAAGCCATCAAGATTGAAAGATCATTTATCAAAAATTCATTCCAATAAACAATAGTGTCATTCCTTTGAAGCAATGACACTGTCTCCAAAAGAATTGATGAAATGGCAGATGACATCGAAAACAGACTTATAAATTATTTAAGAGAAAATAATTTTGCACTACAGATAGACGAATCAACTGTGTCAGATAATAAAGCTATATTACTAGCTTACGTGAGGTTTATTAATGAACGTAAAGAAATCGTCGATGAAGTATTGTTTGCTACAAGTTTGATCACTGATACCAAAGGGTCGTCGATTTTTCAAGCAGGGAGGAATATTTTACCAGAAAAAATGTCCCTTTGACAAATATTATTGTATGCGCAACGGATGGCGCTCCTTCAATGACCGGTCGATGTGTTGGGTTTATAGTCCACCTAAAGAAAGCCGTCCCAGGTGTTATTTGTGTTCATTGTGTTATACATCGCCAACATTAATCTGCAAAAAACTTAACTCGAAACCCTTCAATTCGTCATAAAAGCTGTAAACAAGTTTAAAGTAAGTTCACTCATTGTCGCATGTTTCGAGAACTTTGTCATGATAGTGATGAAGATTTTGAAAGATTACTTTTGCATACTGCAGTAAGGTGGCTTTCCAAAGGAAAATGTTTGTGTCGTTTTTTCGCATTATTTGATTCTATCATTGAATTTCTCGATAAAATTGATCCTGTCTTAAAAGACAATTTGAAGCAACAAAAAATTGAAATTGGGTACCTCACAGATATTTTTGAAAAAATGAATGAAAACAATTTGAAGCTTCAAGGGAATAAGATGAACTTTATCAAAGCCAAATGAATAATTTCCTCATTCATTTTTAAGTTTGATCTTTACAGAACAAACATAAATCGTCAAGAACTGAGTCAGTTTCCGAATCTCAAGTCATGTTCAGACGCAAATGGTTTAATTCCAGAAGACAAAATTCAAATTTTCAGTGATCATATTTTGCAGCTCAAAAAAGACATGAATTCAAGATTTCAAGACCTACTTGAGTTACAAATCTGTAATTGGATTTTAAATCCATTTTCGTTTGAATCTGTGGAAGATCTCGAACCTCATTTACAAATGGAGTTTATCGATCTTAAACACGACTGTGAGGCATAATTTATTTTTAAGCAGGTCGGTTACGAGCTTGCCTGGATCAAGCTTAAAGACACTTATCTACAACTATGGTAACAAGTTAAATTGTTGCTTTTCTCTTTCCCGTCAACGTATCTAGTTGAAAAAGGATTCAGCGTTGTTGTTCAGCTTTTGACGAAACAAAGAAATCGATTGCATATTTGTAACAAAGGTGATCTACGTTTAGCTTTGACCAATATTGAACCAGACATCGCTACATTAGCAGTTACTCATCAGGTTCAGGGCAGTCATTGATAGGTATAATTTTTATATTTTATAATTTTTTTTTTCATAGTCAAGTGAATCTTTTTGTATAGTAAAGTAAAATTGTTTTGTTAAGTGGTATATTACACCATTTAAATAACCATTACTATCTAAAAATAAGAGTTTTTACTTTAATTAATAATTTTATAATATACTGATGAATAAATAAATAAATATATATATATATATATTTATTTATAAGAAGAAAATTTGATTTTACATGAAGGGAGGCGTTAGCAGTTAGTTATTACGATAAGGGTATCGCTGAACTAAAAAAGGTTAAGAACCACTGTTTAGTTAAAGTAAATCATTAAAATTCATTAAGATCTAAATATTTCCATTTTAGAATCTTTTTAAACATCAAAAGTTAATTAGAAAGGATTACTATGATTTTTATTTAAGTGATCTAATACGATAAAAATGTAAAAAAAATCAAACTTTTCTGATAAATTTACTGTAAATAGTTATTATAATATTTGCTGAATGCATATTAATCTTAACAATTTCATTTTTTTCTATTTAATAATGTCAATTTCAAACTTGCAAGTTGAGCTAAAAGTTATGGTAATAAATTCATTTTTTTTTTTTATTAGAAACTTTCACTTTAAAGGACGAAATAAAGTAGGTTAAAAATTATTACTTTTAACATATTAAAAATAAAAATCAATAATAATTTGAAAACAATTCAATATAACAATAATTGTTATATTATATAATATAAAATTTTATATATTATTTTTGAATCTAAGAATTACTAATCTGGATATAAATAAGGAAATAGTTGTTGTTGCTTTTGAAATTATCCACCAATTTCTTAGAATTAAACATTATTTACAGATTTGCATCGAAGTGTTTCTTATGGTAGTGATTTTAATAGCTGACAGATTAAATCTATACTGGACCCAACTATGCCACGTCCTCAATGTGCTGCGATTCTACTGTGCTGGGTTTTTTACATATAATAGGCTTTAACAATCTTAAAATTCATTGTTATTATAATATATAGTAACACTATTAGTAATTTTATACTAAATTCTAAATTGTTCTTAAATATGAATGGAAATGTTGCTAATGAGAGGAAAATAATTAAATGTATACATGGAGAGTATGGTTTTAGTGGGGAGAAAGAAGCTTAATTTGAAAATCCTGAATTTTGTAGTATCGTATGATCCTGCTGCGGTTAATTTTAGATAGAGAAAGAACATTATATAATTTATAAGAGTGGATTTAATAGATCACAGATTGATTATTTTAAGTGGGCCAGAAAGTATAAAGCGAGTAAAATATTGTTAAGTTATTTTAGAGGAGAGTGTA